TATCTGCAGCCTCATCCTCCTTCCTCCACATGCTGTCTCTCTTGTTTCAATGGTGCCCTCTGAAGATGGGCTTCAGCGTGGGTTGAGCCCAGCTCAGGCTCTAGCCCTGCCACTCACCCATCACATATCGCTCCACAGTGTTGCTGGTACTCCCTGCACTCCAGCTATACCTCATCAGTGTCCTCAGCACCTCCCTTGCTCCCCCTCATCTCCACCCTAATCTCCTGTGTGTATCCCATTTACCTCTGTCTCTCCCATCTCAATGTCCTGGCTGTACCACCTGGAGTAACTTCCCCTCCCCACTTCACCCATCAGAACTCATATTGATCCTGCAAAGTCCAGATGAGCAGGAGCCTCACTATGCTGCCAGCCTTGCCTGTGGGACTCAGGGAAGGCACTGGGTGGCTGTGTTGTCCCTGTTATGCCACACTGGGGCAGGTCAGGCAGGTACCAAGGACCAGGCAGGGCCTCCCAGCACTGCCACCTGTGACTGGGTTCCTGGCATCCCCACCTCATAGGAAACGAGAAAACAGCCTCCAGGAGGACAGGGGCAGCTTTGTCACCACACCCACCGCAGAGCTGTCCAGCCAGGAGGAGACACTACTGGGCAGCTTCCTGGACTGGAGTCTGGACTACTGTTCTGGCTATGAGGGCGACCAGGAGAGCGAGGGCGAGAAGGAGGGCGATGGTGAGTCCCGCAGCCACAAAGCCGCCCAGGGGCTATGCCAAACAGGGCAGTGGGCAGAAGGGGGGCTCTCATCAAGGGCCCCTGGGCTTACCTACAGAAAAACATGTCCAGACACAGGTAGACGTGAGAGAACAGAGCCCCTAGGACACCACAGGTTGGGGTTAGGAGAGAGGATTTGGGCCAAATGTTTATCCAGCCAGCCTGTGTTGATGGAAGGACCTCATCAGAACAAGGAGAGAGGAAGAGACCCTGTCTGGAATTCATAATAAGATCTTTCCAGGACATTGTATGAGATGTGTTCCCCACTGCCTTGTTGGGCTCTGTGCCTCATATACTCCTTCAAGGGAGGCTGCAGGAGAGGAGACGAGACTCTGTCCCCATGTTCTCAGGCAGTCATCTGCACAGAAAGCCCAATTCAAGCACATTCTGTCAATTTTCCAATTGCTTGCTTTTGTGTACACGAAGGGAGTTAAGTAATTAGATGACCAGTTCGTTGTCACTTCCTACTGTCCTCCAAGTCCCATTGGGTACCATCCCAAGCTTGAAGAAGGCACTTCGCCCTCAATTTTTTAACCCAGAGGAGATCAGTACATGTGGCCAAGAGCCACACCTGTCCTGGCTGAGTCTTGACTGGGTCTTGACTGCGTCACCCCAATGCACAGGTTGCGGCCTGACCTCACCCCCGCCTTCTCCCACAGTGACAGCTCCCAGTGGTGTCCTTGATGTCTCCGTCGTGTACATGAATCCAGGACAGCACTGCTGCCAGGAATCAAGCGACGAGGAGGCCTACCTGGAGGATGAAGGATGCCAGGACCTACACGCCTTGGCACCAAACACCCAAACACCTTTGGCCCCAGGGCCTGAGCCCCATCTCTGCGGCAGCAGGGAGCTGGGCAAGGACATTACAACCTCAGGGTACTCCTCCGTCAGCGCGAGTCCCACAAACTCCGTGGACGGCGGCCCTCCCCAATCTACCTCAGCACTGTCCCCAGGCAGTGACTCAAACACACAGCCTTGCCACCATCATACCAGGAAGTCATGTTTACAGTGTCGTCCCCCAAGTTCTCTGGAGAGCAGCGTTCCCCAGCAACAGGTGAAGAGGAAAAACCTATCTGCCCCCAGCAAAGAGGAGGAGAACACAAACTTGGGCTTCCTAGAGCTGTGAGTGTGTCAGAGTGTTTGCCACATTGAATGTTTGCTTAGAGAGGGCTGCTGCTGCATGGGGAAGAGAGAACTTGGGGCACTAAGTGTCTTTCACAGAAGAGTCCCATTCAAGCCATAAGAATGTCTAAATCAGAACAAAAACTCAGATCCTTCTCTTTGAAAAGTTTAGCCTCAAAGCAATTGTACCGTGTGAAGCTTATTTCTTTGTCCCCTCCTGTCTGTCCGTCCTTTCTGGGAAGCTTGAGCCCATGTCTTGAAAATCCCATCCCCATTCAAATCCATCCCAAAAGCCAACAATTTTTATTGTTGAGAACACATGTGAGCCAGGTAGACTGGCACAACTCGCCCCTCCCTGCATCTATCTAGTTCAGGGTTCTAGGGAGCTAAGAGCACTGAGCACACCACCATGCCCACCTTGGCCTGCCTGGGGCATCCACTCCTTTACAGGGCAGAGGGTCCCATGGCGAGGGGGCCCTGCCCTGGGCATTGTTATGGACTGCTTGTAGCCGCCAGGCTTGAGGGTCCTGACTTTTTGCAGGCCAGGGCCTCAATGTTTTAGTCATAGGTTCCCTCCCTCCCACACTCCCAGCTCATTTTAGAAATGTGTTCCTCCTCCCAAAATGATTTTTCTGTGTCCCCAACAGATGCTGTCTGTTTGAACATCTCTCTTTGCACTGAATTTCTGGGCCATTTCTTTTCCTGTATTTTCATCCTTCACTCTTCTAAGATGAAAACAAAAAAATTTAAATAGAAGATGTTAAATTTTTAAAAACAAGAGATTCTTAACATTTAGATTCAAACCTCTCAAAGCTATCCTGACACTCTATGCAAAAAGAATTTAACTAGAGAGGTTAGCCAGAAAAAAATGTCATTTGTAACATCTGAGGTGACCTAGATACAGAAGAGCAAGATGCAAAAGACCTGTCCCTGCCTGCTGGGTACGGGTGGGTTAGTGGGTCGGCTGTGAGTTCCTGAGAATAAGTAGAAAGACTCACTCCCCACTCCCCGGGGGCAGTCTGAAGTATCTGCCAAAGACTGACCCTGACCTTTCCCCATTTGGGATGATCACTGACACTTGCCCTGTTGTGATAGCTTGTTTCCTCTCGAAATGTCAGAAAGAACCACTTGGCCAGAAGTGTCCCCAAATGCTCTTGAATCAAAACTAGGGACATGGAGATGCTAACTCAGTGGTGGCTTTTTTGGGTGCCTTGGTTTGTGTGTGTGTGTCTGTGTGTCTGTGTGTGTCCCAGTGGGAGCTGTCTTTGCTACTGTAAGAATTCTGACCACCCCAGGCAGGGTGTGGTTGGGGTACGGGGACCCTGGCTTTGAGATTGCAGACCTCTCTTTTCAACTCTGTGCCCCTGGGCATGTGTGAGCCTCAGTTTCCTCATCTGTAAGATGGGGCAATACCTACCTCACAGGGGTGTTGTGAGGATTAAATGTGATAAGGATAGCAGCAGCTGAGTGATGTGCATATCTGAACTGCCTTATATCACTTCCTACTGTCACCCGAGTCACATTGGAGCACTTGTCCATGGGCCCTTGTCAGAATCCAAACTCTGGATGGACCCAGTTCTCTGCCTTCTCCCACCCTGCACCTGTAGAAAACCACTCCACTCCAGGGGGACCTAATACCACCTGACCACAGTGTAAGTTCTCCCCAAGTCCTAAGAGTCACCTTGGCGAACTCCTACTGTGGTATAGGGTCTCCTTGTTGATCCTAAGTGCTGATTATACCCTTTTCCCTCCCTCATACCTCACAGAGAATCTCATGGTTGGCATGAATGGTGTCAGCCTCCACCCATTATGCATGAAAACAGGCCACTGTAGATGGAGGGGCTTAGGAGTAGTTCAGGGCTGCCTGGGTCCCAACCCCATTCCCCTCTCTTCCTGGTTCCCTCAACTCCCTCCTTTATGTCTGTCTCCTATGCTGCAGCTCCTTCCTATTGGTAACTATAAAATGGGTACCTCTCCATCTTTAAACAACCCCCACAAAGTTTGTCATCCTTCCAGCTAACCCAAGATCTCTGTTATCTCCGATTATATTGGAACTTGCCCACATCACTTGTCCCAGCCATCATCTGTCCCCACAATCCCCTCCAGGGGGTCCCCTTAGTTACTGATGGCCCATACCCCATCCCTTGGATACCCTCCTTGTACAGCCTCCCATTGCGTCTTTGACACCGGTCTCTGCTGTCCACCTCTCTGGGCTCCAGCTCTCCTGTCATCCATCCCTCCCCGTCCCTGTCCATGCACACCTGCCGCACCTTGAACCATCTTGCCCAGGCCCAAAGCTCCATGTGCCACACAACTAGGGTCTCCTCGGCTTCAACCCCCTCTGCCCAGGTGCCTACCTAATATCTCCCCCCGGGATGTCATCACCAGTATGTTCAAAAGTGAACACTCCCTCCCCTCATCCCTGCTCCCAACACATGTCATCTTCCCCTGTAAATACATATTGAACATGTATTGTTCCCCCAGTAAATACATATTGGCCCCTTCACGTTCCTCGCTGTGCCAGGTGACCCAGGGTCAACAAGGCAGATCAGCCCTGTTCTAGAGTGCCTTCAATAAGGACAAAAACGAAGCCAACCGTTAAGCCCAGATGCCACCATCTACCCAGTTATCCAAACCAGAAACCTTCGTGTAGCATAAAGCCCTGGGCCCAGTTTCAAGCCATAGTCAGCGTCGGAAACTTGGGGTTGTGTTGGGGGCGCGTAGCGCGGGGGCAAGGCGGGTCTGAGCTCTGGGCTCGGGATTGGGTAGCCCGGCCGGAAGGGGGCGGTCATACAGCACGGAAGGGGCGGGACTTTCTGGAGGCGGCAAATCGTGAGGAATGGCTACCGCCTTCATGCTTCCCGCCCGCTGCTCGCGCCGGTGAGCCCTGCGCTGCGGAGGGAGCGGGAGCGAGCGGGGACGAAGGGCGGCTAGCCCAGGTGCTGAGCCCCGAGTGCGTCCCTTCCAGGCTCGTGGCCGAGCTGCAGGATGCCTTGGAAGCCTGCGCCGAGCGACAGCGGCAGCTGGAACGAAGCCTGCGCGTCTCCCGGCGGCTGCTGCGGGCCTGGTACATGGACCCCAAAACCACCCGGCTAGGCTTCCCTCGAGCATCAGAACCCCTCTTAGAGCCCCTGGGCCAGGAGGCCAGGCCTGGCTCCCACTTCTGAGTTGCGGGTTGTTGGTGTCCCCCACCTTTCCCTGTAGTATCTGAGGCTGGGGATTTGCTCCAAGGTCAGGGGGCCCTCTGGGGTCTGTTAAGCCTGGGCCCTGCCTCCTGGCCGTGCCACGGCTGCCCTGTTTTCGCAGGGAACCAGCTGAGATTCCGGCTCCGGAGCCAACCCCAGGACCAGAAACTAATAAAGAGACTCCATCTCCAGGTAAACCTCAGAAACCCACCTCGAGGTGCTGCCTCTGGCCTGTCTTCTGGCATGTAGTGGTGAGGAACCCATCCTGGGGAACGGTGAAAAACCACTACATGTCTCGGCTTTCGCAGCTTGCACACCCAGCCCCCAAGACCTCATGGAGCTGGAGTTTCTGACTCAGGCACTGGAGAAGGCTGTACGGGTGCGAAAAGGCATCTCCAAGGCTGGAGAAAAAGACAAGGCTCCTAGCCTGAAGTCTGGGTCCATTGCCACTTCTGCCAACACAGCCTCTGCTGCACCCTGGGCCTCAAAATCAAAACCTCCCAAGGGCACCCGCCAGACCACGGTGCATGCCAAGGGCCTCCCTGATCGTAGGCTTCTGGCAGTGGGGGATCATTCCTGTTTGGGGCGAGGGGCCCAAGCTGCCAAGACTGGACCAGGCCCCAGGGAACAACAAACATTTCCATCAGTGGCTCCTCAGGCCCCAGAAGCTTTCACACTCAGGGAGAAGGGGTAGGTTTTCCCAACCCTCATTGGAGGAACTGCTATCTCTACCTGATTAGACCCTGGCCAGCAGCTAGAATCTCGGATTTGTGGTGACAAGGAGGGCAGGGCATTGAGCTGGATTGGATTCTGGGGCACCACTCCATGAGGCCCATGCACTGAAGCTGGCAGAATGGAACAGCTGCCTTTGAAGGTGCTGGGTTTGATGAGCTAGGAGGGCCTGTCCCACTCTCCTCTCTAGCTGTCCAGTACCCTATTCTGTTATCCACTCAGCCTGAGGGCTCCAGATGGGGTCTGCTTGTGGTACCCTCTCTCCTCTCTGCCAGGGCAGACCTGGAATGGACTGGGCTGGCTCCCATGGTCACTCTAGAAGCCCTGTCTGAGGAGGGGGGTGAGACTCATTCCTAACTGGCCAATGATCAGGGAGTGGGGCCTATAGCCCCAGAATGAGGTGAGGCTTCTCTGAGCACTGGCTTTCCTGACAGGACCCTGCTGCGGCTGCCCATGGCCTTCAGGAAGGCGGCTTCCCAGAACTCCCGGTGAGGCTAAGTCCTGTGGCTAGGTGGGGCTGGAGGGGGGACAAAGGGAGTGTGGAAAGCAGGGAGGCCAAGGCTTCCCACCAGCTCATGGCCAGGTTGGTAAGACTTTTCCAACAGGTTCCTCTGCTTTCTTTGCTGGGTGGGGACACTACTTTAGGAGAGACTGCCTAGCTAAGACTGCCATAGTTGCCTTAATTTCAATAGACTTTGAGGCCCCCAAGCCTTCTGCTTATAAGCTACAAAACTTTGAGCAAGGCACTCCATGTCTTTAAGTCCCGGTGTGTCTTCCCTGTGGAGGTGACATAGTAGTACTAGCTTCATAAAGATGTTTGCACTGTTCCTGGTATAGAGCCAGCACCCAGAGTTACCAGTCACTGCTGGTCTCTCTCCCCTTCCTCAAATTATTTCCTAGTATTTCCCAGAGTGAGTGAGCTCTCTGCAGTGTCCTCTCAGTTCCCTAAGGCTTCCTGAGGCCCTTCCTGGCACTCAGCAGAGCCAAATACTCCAGGCTAGGACCCCTACACTGGCCCTTACCTATATCCCAAAGCGTAGCCCACATGGCTGGAATAATGGTCCCTCTCTGGTTCCCTGGTGCCCATATATGCATCCCAGCCTGTGGGCCCAGCTCAGCACTGCACAGACCAGCGACTCCATGGATGCTGCTATGACCTCCAAAACTCAGTTCCTCCAGAAAATGCAGACAAGGGTATCCTTTCTGTGTTTGCTGGGTGTGGGGCAGGGTGGGCAGGGCTCTAAACCTGGTGAGTTAGAGAATCAACTCCAGGTATAGAGCCACTCCCAGACCTCACCCTTGAGGGAGGGATGGGAAGGGGAGGAGCCTAACCAAAGGGGAGTTTCCCTGACCCTTGTCCAGTCAGGCTGGCCCTGCTCCGGGCTCAGTGCTCCAGAGATGGAGGCAGAGGTGGGGAGCCTATGGAAGGCTTGCTCGTTGCTGAGACTGCGAATGGGGCAAGAGCTTGCAGCAGGTCAGTGGGCCCTGATATGGAGCCCAGGTCAGGGTCGGGAGGCCTGCAGGACCAACATGGACCCTGCCTGCCCTACCTGACTCTTACAGACTTCACAGACTGGATGCAGGAGTACCGCTGTCTGCTCACCCTGGAGGGGCTTCAGGCCATTGTGGGGCAGTGTCTCCACAGGCTGCAGGAGCTTCAGACAGGTGAGACCCCACCCCACCCCCACCTGTGCTGAATTCTGGCAGGGGTTGGTTCAAGGTCCTCTAGCCACAGGGCAGCATTAGGACTTAACAGCAGCCCAGAAGCAGAAGTAAGCAGACCCTTCCCCACATTACCTTATTGTATTCTGAGTTCTCCCCAGTTGTCCTGTGGGACCAGTCAGAACAACTCTTTCACCCCATTCCCTCTCCAGACACAGAGCCCCACCACTCTTAGTAGTTTGCTTATTTGTCCAGTGGTTGAAAAAGTGGCATGTGAGAATCAGAGGTACTGGCGAATGACTCACCTGGCCTTACAAGAGGTGTTTGTTTGGGAACAATAAGGCTTCATCCACGAATCGAAGGGAGAATTTGCACTCCCTTAGAGAAGAGTGGGGAGGAAGTGCCTGGCTGCTGCTCCATGAGACCACATCCTCCTGTCCTCACAGTGGTAGTGGAACAACAGCAGGGGCTGTGGCCTGAGGAAAGACTCCCCAGGACCTCATTGCCCTGTGGAGGAGGAACAGTCCCCACCCGGAACCCACAGCTGCTGCTCTACTCCAGCACCCACGAGCTGCAGACCCTGGCGGCCCTCAAGCTGCGAGTAGCCATGCTGGACCAGCAGATCCACCTGGAAAAGGTATTTCCAGAGAAGGGGTTGGAAAGTCGACTGGATGCCAGGGGAGCGTGGGCTGTGGAGAGAACTTGAGATCTGGAACTTCATGAAGGCTCAAAAGCCTGTCTGTACTCCTCCCTGACCCCAGGGTGATAGGAGCCTCTGAGCCTGTGCACATGCCAGCCATGGCCAGGTCCAGGGGCAACAGGAGAGAAATGGGAGCTTCTGGAGGAGGGAGGGGCTGGAGCATGGTGCCTCCAAGCCTGCCCTGGAACTGCCCCACTCTCTAGGCTCTCCTTTGGGAGCCTTGGGCTAGCTGCCTGGGACAGGGTCCCCCTCAACCTTGGCCCTTCAGGTCCTGATGACCGAACTCCTCCCACTCGTGACCACGCAGGAGCAGCTGGGGCTGCCCCAGCTGGCACTGTGCAGGGCTGTGCACAGCCTGCTCTGCGAGGGAGGGGAACGCTTCCTCACTGTCCTGCGAGATGAACCTGCTGATTGAGCCCTTCCTGCTGCCAGCCCCTCTTCCCCACCCCACTTGCAGACCTCAAAACCCTGGGGAGAGGGCAAGCTGGTTCTGATGCTGAGGCTGTTTGGGAGAGCACCCCTTCTCTGGTCAAAGTTAAGTGAACAGGGATTGTGTGGTGGACCTGAGCCAGAATACCTATACCCCTTGGGAAGCTAGATTTCCAAGATGGGGCAGGGATAGCCCCTGGCTGTTCAACTACAGCCCTTCTCACAGCTGCTAAACCTGGTCAAGGCTTGGCTCGGCCTACCACAGGTTAGAGGAGACCTGAGGCCTCTTGGGGGGCGGGGGGGTTTTCCTTAGCTACCTCTGTTTTCTTTCACTTCAGACTTAAAAGTTACTTGTGTGGCATGTGGCATTAAAACTATTTTAGAAAGTATACATATTTAAATCATACCAAGGTAGAACTTGGTGTGTGGAGTTGTTTTGTTTTGTTTTGTTTTTTGCTTACCAAGAATATATCAAGTGTATTTACCGAGAACATCCATAGCACTTCTGTACTGTATGGAGACGGTAAGGCCACTCAGGGTGGGCTGCATTGGGAACTCACCTTATGCATTGGCCCTAGCACACCTGAAACTCCTTCCCCCGGGTGCCTAGATCTATACTGGGCACATTGGAAGACCCAAAAGCTACAGTCCTATATCAGAGTAGACAGGCACTGTGTGCCCACAGCCATCTCCTGGCACTTGTGCTCACCACCTCCTCTTGGGCCATTGCTGTGGCCGGCTGAGGTACCACCAGAGAACAGGCCCTTTTACCCATCACCCCTCACCTTATTTACTATCACCTTTTCTGGGGCTCCTACCTCCCCTGTTGAAGGAATCGTTACTGTGGAAGGCAGGAAAGTGTAGATGTCAAAGTCATGCCCTCTCAGTTTACTCCAGTCACAGATTTGGGTTTACACTAACTTGTTTGCTGCTATGGGACTTCAACAAAATTCTTAAGGGCTCTGAGCTTCAATTCCATGTTGTCCCACTATTATACTGGGTGTAGTGGTTATTAGTCCTGGGGTTAGGATGAAGATGAATGAGATGTGAGATACTGCACAGTGCTGGGTCCTGATGAGGGCTGGGAGGCTGTGGCATTCTTTAAGTGAACCTTTACTGAGCACCTACAAGGACCAAGCACAATGCCCAGAGCTGGGGCACTAACCCTTAATATAGACAGTGACTGCAAGACGGGATAACACCAGCCTCTACCCTGAGGGACCCAGGCCCAAGAGGCAGGTAACTCCTAGATGCCAAATCTGAGAGCCAGATGAAGTGTCTCAGTTATAAGGGATGAAATGGACAATGTTGAAGCAGCCTCAAGGTGGCTCCATGTCCCCTGCAAGAGGCCCTACCTGTAAGTGGCCTCATAGTCCAGTAGGCTAGAAACCTCTGACACAGAGTCCTGGGTCTTGAGGGCTGCTGAGGTCCAGATGACAAAGTAGAAAAGGAAACAACAGGGACTTCCAGGGAGTAGAACAGCTCTGTCCAGTACCCAGGACAAGAACTGCAGAGACGGGGAGCCTGAGGGACAGCCGCCTCCTCCTTGCTACTCTTACTGCCTCCAGAGCTGCTGCCAAGGTGTTCAAATCTCGAGGAACCCTTAATCCTCAGGGTGAATTCTATCACCAATCACCACCCTTACTGGCCACCCCAGAATCAGTTTCCATAGCAGATGGTATCCACAATTATTTCATCCACTAGTTTACTTGGTTTATTGTGCACCTTCCCTACTATACTTTTGCCTCACAAGGGCAAGGATGTTGTCCACCTGGATCCCTAGTCAAGCCCAGATGGGTCCCCAAAGACCCACCTATCCGGGGCTAGTCCTGGGCACTGGTAGTGGCCTGGCAGACTGCTAGGGCCTTGGGCCTTCTTGGACAGGAGGGAAGTGCCACGAATAGCATACAGGGTCAGGTCTGGGACACAAGGCTCCCAGCCAGAGTAGGAAGAGAGAAATCCCTCCAGGTTAGCGCCTGCGTACCCTGCGTAGGCGGCAGTGGCGAACTCCTCTGTCCCCCCAGGGCGTCACTGCGTCCTCAGCCAATCTGCTCAGACATGGGAGCGGGTACTGCGCGGGCGCCCAAATCCACCCGAAAGCTGCCCCCGCGTCGGCGGCACAAGCGAGCCGGATGGCTCCTCCCACCACCGCCGCCCGCCCCCCAACCTTGCATGCATTTCTCTGCACCACCTATTGCGCAAGGAGCTCGAGGCTGCACTACATCCTGCCTTTCGGCGCCGTGACCATCATTTTCTCGCTGCAACGACCCCACCTGGACCTGACCCAAGGCGCGTCGCTGGCCGCGCTCCGCGCGGACCTCGGGCTCCTAGCCGCCGCCTTCCTGTGCTGGCAAGCTTGGTGGCAACGGCGGCGGAGGGCCGGGCGCGGGAATCCACGAGAGCCCCCTCCCAGCAAGGTTGCAGCAATCTGGGCGCCTCCTTCCCCCGGACGTCGCCCGGACCTGGCAGGCGCAGTGCTCCGGGTTCACGGAAGCCCCCTCCCCAGACACCTTCATTAAATCTTTCTTTTCCAAACATTTGGAAGGCGCGGTCGGAAGGGGGCTCCAAAGCCATCTCCCTCCTCATCCCGGATAGGTTTATCCCCATCTCGCACCCCCCTTTCCACCTAATGTTACTTTTCTGTGTTTTGCTTGGTCCACAGAGCAGGCCTGGCCGAGCACTGCGCGGGCGGGAGTCTGCGGGACATGAGGGGTATGCAGGGTGCAGGGCGGCGGCGTGACCATCCTTCTCTGGGCGAGGCGCAGCATCCACCAGCCGTCTGTCTTCCTCATTGGGTTGGAAATTCCTCGAGGCATAATAGGCACTCAATATATAAATGTGCAATACGTGACAGTGCAGCGGCCTGAGAAGTTGTAGGTGGGGGCAGGGAGGTGGAGCCTCTTCTAAGGTGCCAGGAGGGGGCAAGGCCAGCCAAGAAGTTGGAAGTGTGAGAGGCCCCAGCAGGGATCTGGGGACAGTTGGCTTAGTCCACAGGGAGTAATGAGCTTCGGCTAGGGCCTGTGAGGGAAGGCCCCCTTAACTCCCATTACACCATCTGCCAGGACTGCCCTGCAGCCAAGATAATGTGTGTAGAGGGGGCCATTCCAGGGAAGAGGCCATGCTGCCTGCACCCTCCTCCCTGGGGAGCTGGTGGTGCACTGGGGCCCAGGGCTGATCTCCATGAATGCTCACATCAGGCTTAGCCCGGAGGGACTCCTTCCACCCACATCAGAAGACACCAGATGTTTGGCAGACCCTAGCCGCAACTTAAGAGGAAGCTAGGCTGCAGACAGACTCCAAGGTTGAAAAGGAGGGGAGAGGCTGCTCCCCCTGCTCCCAGCTTCCTCCCTTCTGGCAGGAGTCCTGAAGTCCATAAAGCCAGAGTTTCCTTGGAGGCTTGTCTCAGGCCCTGTGGAACCCCTGGGCATTTATCCCCACCATGGCCAGCTAGTTGTCTTGCTTCTAACAGTCCTACAAGGGTCTATCACAGCACCCACTCCCCTACCAGCGCTCTTTTCATCCCAGGCAGTGGTTGAGGATGGAGACCAGAAGGGCCTTGAAGAGGGTAGTTGGGAAGGTATTACTTCTGGACTTGACCTATCCTGGAGCAGTGTATGCACCCTGCCAGCACCCTCATTCATGCACCATGCATGACTGTTTGTTTTAAGGGACACATTCTCTTTATTGGGAAGTTGAGGGATGTGGCCTTGTGGCACCTGTTCTGTGAAGTGGGGGTAGACTCACAGCCTTCCTGCTGCTACTGCCAGAGGTGAAGGGAGAGTCCAGCAGCCCCTGTGACTCTCCTGGCTCAGTCCTTCCAAAGTCTCCCATCATCTCATCCATCCCTCCACATACCCTGCATTTATGCTGATCCATCCTGGGAAAGGGCTTGAGCAGAGGATATCAGTCACTGCAGGTGCCCCATCACTCTTTCTTCCTGCTTCTCCCAGTTCAAGCCCTCTTGCTCCCTCTTCTTTGTTTTCCCCTGGGAGGCTTTGGTGTCCTACTGCCCCTCCTCTCCTAAACAGCACAAGGATTCTGCTTCTCTTCATCCTCTTCTTATGGGTCCTTGCAGCATCTCAGGCCCTGCAGAGGGTGGCAATTCCACTTACATAGACATACCCACATTGCATCCTCCACCAGCTGCAGAGGCTGGCCTAAAGTTCAGCTTCCCAGCTGAACCTTCAGGCCTCAGAGCTGTCCCAGATGGACATGTGCTGGTGTGCCTTGCTCTTCTTCATGAGGCCAACGCCTCCTGGGATGCTTGGCCCCTCTCCATCAAGGATCTCAAGGTAGTTGAGAAGAGGTCTCTGTCCAGAGTGATTCACGGCCCCTGTTGGCTGGGGCCACTCTCAGCTGCAGCTGCCCCATCCCCAGCTGGTATCTAGATTACCAAGCTGGGCTTCTGCTTCAGTTTCCCTGCCCAAACCTGCTGGTTTGTGGGATAAGCTCAGGGATTCTGACACTGAGCCATCTGTGACTAAGCTCTCACCATGGATCAAACCCTACTCTCTACCTCTCCACAGGTGACGAAGCCCGTCAACCTCAAGGGGCCCTGCCACCTAGTGGACTGTACCCCCACACATACAGCTTTCACTTCTCTGCCAGCTCTAAGGGCTGGGCTCATCCTAATGTTGCAACAAAACATTAGGAGACCCAGGGACCAGTGTTTGGCCTGATTCGGGTAGGGGACACTAACCTCAGTCCTTAGATGAGCTCAGGCCAGTCCCAGGGGTGCAGTTCTTCCTGAACATAAGGTAGCAGGGACATAAGTCTATTGAGCCTGCAGCTCACCAAATTCCTCCCGCACAACTCACAACTCAGCAAAGCTGAATAACAGGCATGTGGTAGAAGAGGAAACTGAGGCTCGGGCAGGTTAAGGAATCTGAACCACACAGCTGGAAATTGGAGCAGCTTGGATTCAAAATTAGTCCCAGTCCTAGGTTCTTTCTATTAGAACAGACCGCTGCCTTGAGGGCACCCCACGATCACCAGCACGTCTTCATTCCCCCTGTCCTGAGTACGCTCTGTATGGACATTAGGGAGCATCTGGGCTCCAGCCTTCAGACCCAGAGCCCAACCTGCATGATGAGCCTGAGGGAGAAGGCCGCCAGACCCCCGCCCAGAACGTTGCACAGCCCCAGGAGCAGTTAGTCTGGCTGCGGGCCGGGGACCCTGCTGGGTGGTCCCCCCACAGGCTGCGTGGCTGAGCCGCCCCCTTCAGACCCCTCCCGCCGGTGCATTCCTGGCTCCCCGGCCCCTCCCC